AGCAGTCGAGACTGAGAAAAAGAGAAAATATGACCTACTTGCTAATAAATTAGGGTCAGAGATGAAATGCAGGACCAAAACAATTTCGTATGTGATGACTTGGGATGAGATTGTTACGAACTTCAAACGCTGTGCGAAGGAGATTAGTATATTTGACCACGACAAGGCATGCATCCAATCGATAGTTCTCGAAAAGGCTCGTAAACATCTCCTTCGATAGTCGATATGGATTCCGCGAGGACGAAGCGAGAACGGTGAGCACAACAAATTTGAGCGCAGGACAAGTACTGCCAGAGTGTTGGAATGCGTTCCAGCGCTAGAACCAATAAAGCGAAAATTAAAACTAACCTCCACATTTTATTTATTATATAAATTTATATGCAGGCTGTCACTTTTGCCAAACTTTATTGACTTTAAATTGGTTTGGAAAAATGATATATGATTAGCAAGTGTTTGTAACGTGCCACATACGTGTATCACTTATGAAGTAGACGATTTCAGTTCTCCAAAAATTGATTAAAGTGATTTCAGAAAAACACCAAATAAAGAAGCCGGGAATAAACGTAAAGATCAGTTAACGAACCGATACAAGAAATCCAAAAAGCGTCGTCTTGTGTTTTCAGATGAAGATGAAACTATTGATGATGAATCATGGGAATATGAATTATCGAATTCACCGACCAAAAGTGAAGAAACAGAAGTATGGTTTTTATCAATATAGCTGTCAACAAATATTATAACTTACGCTAGGCGTATTTATTTTCTAGGTTCTTAGTGATTTGCAGTTGTAAATTCACCAGTTTATGAAGCCGCTACGAATTTTCTGAACAGATTATGATTTTACGATCTTATTTAAATTGCAGAATGAAAGTGACAAACCAAATGAGGAAAATTCAAGTGACGATGAATTAGAAGTATTTCGTCAGTTGCAAAATGGAAAGAAACCAAAAAAAAGGTGTGTTTGTGTTGTTAAATGTGATTTTCCGTCAAGTTATTGCAGTTTATATTATGATTTCAACATCAATTTCAGATCTGAATTCATTGAAGAAGAAGCAGCATTGTCTGGAGATGATATTGGAAGTGATGATGATGATGATGATGAGGGTCAGCTAGATGTTTATGAAGCTGAAGAAGGGGACGATGATGAAGTTCCAGACGATGAAACCATCAAAGAACAGCTTCAGAGGCAGTGGATAAAACAACAACAAGTAGAATTTTCTTTCGCGGCGTTGTGTGCTGGACTCATTTTGAGTTTACTGATTAATTTTGCACTTACTTATAGTAAAAGGTGCGTCCGGGACACAAATTCCTGATGAAGACTGGATATTAAAATTCGTTATCATTCACACTTTGTTGGTAAGGAATAACTAGACAAGCCTTCAACTCCAGGATGAAGAAGACAGAAAGTTGTTATACTGGAAAGACAAGCTTCTCAAGGATGGTGATTTGACAGGTGAAACAGATCGTACATTTCGTTTTAAATTACGCTCGAACGCAACAGAAGACACAAATGAACAGGTGGATGGCACAAGTATTGACAGTGAATGTCTTGAGGTTGATATGGATGAATCACGAAGGCAGACAGAAACGTCTAGGTGGAAAATTAAAGCAGCGGTAGCTTTTTTCTGTAAAAACTGTTACTTCATTATTTAGTACCGACTGACTAATTTCGCACATTTATATTAAAAGGTGCATCCGGGGCACATATTTCTTCTCTCTAAAATAATGTACCAGTTTCACGTTTCGTATCGACTTAAAGTCACACTTAAGTTTTGTTTCAGAATCCTAATTTACCTGAACCTAAAATCCCGATAGATGAAGCAAGCCCATTATTACAAGCTGCCTCGAAAATTATGAAGAAAACAGGTAAATCTCAATATTATACTCCCACGTTTATTTTTCCAAGACATTTGTAGTGAGAAACAAGTCCACTCTAAAAATTCGCTTCAAACAATGCACAACTCGATTTAGATAGTTTAAACTACAGTCATATGCACGAAGTACAACCCTTCTAGCATCTAGCTTGTTTTCGATCATATGATATGGTTTGCGATGAATTTTGAACATATATTGTAGATGCAAACAGGAGCAGCCAACTTGGTGAGCGAGTAGGACCCTCACTTCTGAAAAACTCTCTTTTAAGTCATCGCAAGTCACTGTCTCAAGTGCTTGGTCAAACCAGAACGTCCATAGAAGCCACGGAAGACTTCAATGTCGTTTGTTACCATTGATAAACTTCTAAGTTTATCTTGCAAGCCTGTCCAGCTCTTCGTGACTTCAAAAGTTCGGAGTTCACACAAAATAATGGAACAACCAAAAACGCAGTGTACTCGATAATTCAAACTGATTTTAATGCAGTAAATTAGACGCTACACTTTGTAATATGTTTCTGTCCTATCCCTATACTTTTATTGACTTGTCAAACAACTAGGACTATTATAAATGATCTCATATGCACCTATTCCCAGCAGAAATAATGAAAAACAGCTGCTGGTCCATAGATTGAACAATTTTTGGATTGAACAAAAGCTGGATTTGATTTGATTCGCAAATACTCTTGCAGAAAGTATTTAGGGATCCGTTAATCATTTAAATTCAGTCAAGTGGGAAGTACATGACAAAACTGAATTACACCAGTACCATAATTATATAAATTGCATACCAATTATATGTGCAGAATTATCTAATACATTAATAGCATCCAATAATAGATGTTCTCGAAAAAATTGATTGAAGGATTCGAACTTTTCTTACATGCATTGGCGATTCTATTCAAGAAGAAAATGCACGTAGGAGAAACTGTTTGATAAATTTTAATTGACACTGTACCAATGTTCCATAAAAATATTAGGTACGCAACAAAACATTCCCTCAAACCGTTTCGGACGTTTTCCTGAACCTGTCAGAAAAAGAGGAAACGAAACATTGTGCCAGCCAGACAACTACAGTTTTATCTCCACTGCACAAAGTAGTACAATATAATTTCATTCGTTTTCTTCACATCTGATCCTTGCGTGTCCATTAGTCAACGAAATGTTGAGCTGCTGTGCTCGTTCTACAATACACCTTCGTTTCTTTGATGACACACCATGCGCGACCTCACCAGCAAATCTTTTATTTTGCATCAACAACATATCCAAATCCTACAATGATCGTCACAGATTTAGAAATAATCTATAGCGGAAATGACATCATAAGTAGTGCAAAAAAATACAAATTAAAAACACACCTTAACATTGTGTATCAGTACTTTCCTCAACCCATTTGGCAACATATGTCGCGTTAGTTTTGCATTGCCATACCCAATTTTCGGCATACGTCGCTGACCCTTGAATCTTCTTCTGACGCGATTGTCAATACCCTTAAATTTTTTTAATTCCGAAACAGTTCTATAATCTCTACGCTTCTTAGAAGCACGGCAACTTGGGCATCATAAATTGAAGACTTATGAGGTAGATAGCAGCTTTGGGTGAAATCACGATTACTAATAAATTTCTTCACTATTTCTGCGGAAAAGCGACTTCAGTGTTTAAACACATACTCTCCTAGAATGAAGTTTGAGAGCTGCAAAATTGATGAATACAACGCTTGGCAGACGAAATATAACGAAAAGATCAAAAATGCTATCACTAGAAGCTGATATTTCAAGCCGTTAAAAGTAGTAAAAGAAACCTTCGGTTTCCGCCAATTAGGTCGTAAACGATGATACCGATCAGACTCATGTCTGGTAAAGCGCCGAGGGTGCTTCTTAACAATTTTCACTTTTTTTCCACAAACTAAAACCATTGCTGAACTGAAATATTCGAAAAAAATCAATAATTGCTAGATGAATTAACCAATTCGCTGGTCAATTTCGAATTGAACTGAGGAAATCAACATGATATTTAACAATACTACCATAATTTAACGAAAAAAATTTATCTAAAAGATAGTTGAAAATGTCTATCAGAATAAAAAACAAAATGAACATATGGATCCGTTAACCGTATTCAAGCCTAATCTTTCAAATAATCCTACTGCTTATTACTTGGAAAACGATGTGAATGAGCAATGTAAATTTTGTTCCCAAAATGCTATAAATATCTCCCCGTCACACGACACACACAAAGACTAGTGAAGCAATAAATATAGCAAATTCGAAATTTCAAGACCAAATGACAAATATAGCACGCAATAAAATTGCGCACATTGATGCCCAAATGACATCAAGAAATGCATTTTTCTCCTCATAACTGCGTACAACGTTAGGTGAATCTCAAAATAACCCTTCCAATTGGCTTCTTCAGAATATGCATATACACACTTCCATTATAAAAGTAGTATGCTAAGATGCTACTAAATCCTATGACAACTTAAATCCCCAGGACACACGCAACCTAAAACTGCCTGACATTACATCAGGAGTGGACTACGCTACTTCGCTTTTCACATTTCGGAGAACTGTGAAATGAACCACATTGACGTCTCGCTTTGCAATTAATACGTCCCACACCCAAAGAGTGTAAATCTTAACGCACACACAAACTCTGGTAGCTCAACCCAGAACTGTGAATTAAACAAATAAAGGCGAGAACTGCGACACCAATAAGGTTTTAATGCTCTCTCGAAAGTAATACGATACTAAGATTGATAGACGAAACTCTTGGAAACAGAACAGAGCAACATGTTTTCCACGAGCACGCTAGCGTCCATCTCCGCGAAAGGGAGATGATGCGCCTTCTGTATGCCGTCTAAACTAGAGCTTCTTAACAAAATCCCTCATCACATAGTAAATGAACTTGTTCATCATATGATACGAATAAATGGAAGGATGTATCATGAGATCCAAAAGCAACCTAGCTCTTTTATGGAAAAACACGTGAATGTAGGTTCATATGTACTAATCATTTCACAAAAAATAATAGGATTAGCTAGCACTGAGCTCTTAAATTTTACTTAAGTAAAAAATGACGGTACCGCAAGCCAGCAAATGTGAAAAAAAAAGCTAGAATTCTAATCTGCTGACTTACAGGTTTGCGAATGACTGATTAATTTAGATGCTGCATTACAGGATATATTCGAATAACAACGATACATAATAATAAAATGAAATACGATAGAATTAGAGAGAAAGCAGACCTCGGAAGTAGCGGGTTGCTAATGGACTAAAATATAGACAGCATATAAAGTTGCAATACTTGAGTAAAATAATTTAGTAGTAAAATTTTGTGACAATATCAGACATGATTACATTCACGAGCACTAGACCATTATGAGTAATAAACAACAAAAAGCACCAAAACAATCAATATCGAAATCCATCATTCCAAATATGCCAATTTTTACGAAAAATCATGACAATGACACATCTGATATCATGAAACACAGCTAAAATCAATATTTGAATGCATCATTTACACACACAACACTTGCAATAAATACAATAATCGCCTCATAAACCAAAACTTTATTAGAGAACGAAATTTGGGCATGTGGGCCACTACCGAGTTGAAGCACGATTACATGAAAAAGATTAAAACACATATATATTTCGGCATTCAACGCCAACCATAACTTCAAAACAATGTTCCAAAAGCTTACGGCACAGCACACGAAATATATATTTGTAAGACATAAAAATCTGAAAATGTAAAAGTCCATTCCGAAATGCTTTGATAAATGTTTGAAAAAGTTGATAATCTAAAAGTAAATTAGTACAAACCGCGAATATTATTTATTGCAGTGTGTATGGACATTAGAAGTGAAAATTGCATGAATAATATAGCTATTGTTGGTTTCATATGAAGAAATGTCACTGAAATGACAATCTCATATTAAGCTTCATACAATTTTATCATCCAAATAAATTAATAGCGCAAAAAGTATGAAGTGAGTATTTCGCGACTAAAATGAAACGATAGTCTTCTCATTGAACTAGTTATTGAAAATGGTAACAAAACGAACTTGCTATCATGATAATCCTTTTTTATTATCTCAATATATACAAAAAAATATCAAAAACTATTATCATTTTTTTAGATTTACGATGCCAGCTTTTAGATCTGTGGGAAACATAATGAGGCCCTACTAATGAAATAAACGGAGAGATGATAACCAACATAAAGTATATTAAAAACATGAAGAGAAAAAGATACCGCAACATACAGCTTAGAAAACAACCAACACTATAACGTTCCAGAGCAAAATTAATCCATTCCTAATGCTGCACATCGTACTTTCGACGCAGCTTTCAGAAGCTGTTCGAACCCCGTTCTGAAAAAATTTGATTCTGTGGAAACTAGTTCAAGTGATCAATTAAAAAAACTTCTTACCCATCATTGACGTAACATCTGACATTGAAATACACATTATGAATGATCTTATCTACTACAAAATCCCACAAACTACTTATCCATGCTAATATTTCTTTCCGTCCACATCAAATACTGTAAAAGAATACACAGAAATGAAGTATATATAAAAACATGAAAAAAAAGTGTTTTGTGGATAATTGCATTTCCTCCAAAGATAATACTCAAAAGTTAAAGGTCAAACAGACTCTCTTCCAGGTGAGCTGAAATTGCAGGATCTACATTGGTATATAAAGATTCGCACACTTACCTGAATTATGAGCATAGGTGAATTGTAAAATTTCACCCATACTCACTCGTAGTAACACTTCTTTCTAAGTACCCAATTTTCCTGAATTCGCTACTTTTGTCTACAAGAATCAAACTAAAGCAAGCCTTCTTTGCACCAGAATTCAAAATTTGACGTTTAATAAATGATATCTACGGGTAGTACAAGAACTTATATCTCAATCTATTTATGTCGAAACTGCCATGCATTCCCTTCAAAAGATGGGGCATGTAGAATCTAACATAAAACACTTACGTAGCACCTATTTCATCGCTTGGTTCGCTAGGTGTTTTCTCTTCCACTTTGATCAACGCATTTTCGAAAATTTCATTTGCTTCACTACCAGAACAATAGCGAATCTTTAAATTAAGTACATAGAAACAAAAAAGCCTAGTGAAAATCAGATAACTACAGACTCACTGAACTTTACCAAAACTTTAATGTTCTATTCATTTCATATTTTTGCAATATATCACCCATTACTATCTGTCGCTATATATTTCCAAAAAAAACCTCATCAAAAAACTGCAGTCGAGATTAGCTACATTCAAATTTAAAGAAATTTAGGCTGAATCCTTTTCGTAGCTGTTACAACTGTGTTATTGCAACATTAACCTGTGTTATTGCAAAAATAACAGCTTCCGGTAAAGCAACTGTAGTAACGTAATGAAGGCGTCGTAAAGAAGATTTCATCGCATCTTTGAATTTAGAAACAGTTGCATCCAAATGTTCGACCAAAGAAATCGCATCTGCTTCTGTTATCAAATCCCCTGCAACGAAAATATATGTGAAAAGTGTAATGACTATTTATTATTTCAAAACTAAATAAAGGATTGCTATCTCATCAAGCGAAGTACGGGAATAGAGATTAAGAAAACTAAGAAAAACTACAGGCAAAACAGAGATAACAGCACAGAATGAATCATTACTGAATCTAAAGACTAGCCAATATGTAATTCAAAGTTTAATGGTGCATTAGGCGGTGGTTCATAAGCAGAATGTCGAGCGCACGTGAATTGTCCAGTCCAAATCGCCATCAAATGCCTTGCGCACATTTCAGATTTACACAACCGTAAGATTTCTTTTGGAACCAAAACATTGCTTGATGCAACTTTACATCCATTCTCACGCACATTTAAATTTCCTATAGAAGAAATTTGTAAAAAAAGCTTCAACTAGTTCATACAGTTTGCAGCACTAAATATCAGAAAATTATAAATGCATATTGCTCCACTAATATTTTTATTTGCAGCAGCAATCAATCCTTATGTGCATTCTTTACAATCGTTTCTTTCCTGTTAAAAGTGGCAATTTACGTGCTGCTTATTGTTTTACATCAATAAAAAATCCCTCAAAAAACAGTTTCGACCGCACCATTTTTATCAAAACTTGTTTGTTCATCATCAAAAGGACGATAACTGCCTTCAGCAATTTCGTCAGCTTGCTGAATTGCTGCTTTCAGTTCCTCGTCTTCAATCTCCTGAAACACACATAAGTACTTATTACAAATTAGAAAGTTATCGAATGATAACCCTATATGTATATTTTGAATAAAGAGAGTAAGAGAAAAAAGCGAAAAGTGGATACATGTAGGTAAAGAACTTTTGATCAAACAAAAAATTATCAGCTATAGAATTAAAACCTATAGTTCGATTAAGAAGCAATTTGAGTTAAGAAAAAAAAACCTTTATTCAATTAAAATAAATTTCTAAGTGTATATATACATAAACTAAAACTAAGAACCCTCAATACAAAAAAACTCACAATATTCACATTGATAAGATCATTATTACGTATGAAAACAAATTAGTTCAATATTTTAACATGCTAATAAAAAACTCACATCAGCTTTTGCTTCCACAGTGTCATATAAATAAATACTTTTGAGCTGTACCACACGAGTTTTTTCCGAGTTTAAACACCTTAAAAATATGTTTCACAGTCAGAATAACATGATATTGTCAGCATTCACGACCACCAAAAAAATGTTGCAGACCAATGTCTGCCTAATATGTGACGCAACATCTGAGTATATGCATTCTACTTGAGGAATTTCAATACTAAAAACAAAGTCGCTAAATAAGATTACAAATATTTCGTAATTCATACACAGTGTGATCAAAGAAATGTTTCAAAATTTGAAACTTAGTTCAGATGATAGTTATGTGAAAATGAGATAAATTGCTAGTAATTTTACCATTCTGAGTCGCCTGACATCGCATCCAATGGCAGCTCAGTGCAAACACATGACTTGTTGGCACTATCTACTCTCAAAATCTGGAAAATTCACAAATTAATGTTGACAATTTACATAGCCTAGAGAGATATTTCTTAATAAGCAAAATTTTATAACAACGTCATGAATAAACTGCCCAAGCTCTTAAGATATTCTAAAAAGAATAACTCTACATGATACAAATTGATCTTTAGAATAAAATTATAATGTGAAACGAAATTACAAAAAGCATATCCTTTAAGCGAATGGAAATTGCAAAATCCAATGATGAAAATCATGTAACCTACAAGAATGGGCCACTTGACGATACGACCACTTCGAGCGCGATTAATCCACGCTAAATCCCCTTTGCCGAGATTCTCTAATTTCTGAGTTAATTCATTTTCCAAGTCTTTCATAACATCAGAAAATTTCTGCCTCTTTATAATAGGTGATGGGGATTTATTCAAACGTCTTTTGCCTTAAACGATTTTATGACAAATGACTTCGAAAAAAAAAAAGCTATTTAGAGCTCATTTCTTCACATTCTACTTATTCAACACACAGATGAAAATAACTATAACACTGATAATTTCACCATGTTCTGCGATATCAAAGTAATCCAATGACTGAAAGAAAATTCTTGCTATTCAGCTAGGTTCTGAAATGATACGTTCACAGATGAATCTATAACATAATATCTTCCAACTAGCTTATGAATGAAGCCACACTTGCCATCTTGTTTAGTATCGCATTCTTCCAACAAGTCAGCAGCCTTCATTTCTGTCAGATTTTCAGCGCATTTTACCTCACCAAAACCACTACAAGTAGTACTTCTCTCTTTTCTTTCATGTTCTTGATGCAAACTACCTTCGTCGTCAATCTTTGAAACTTCCTCATCCTCTGTATCGGATTTCCCGGGATACTTCATCTGTTCTCTACGTTTGAAATATTTCATAACGCTTTGAAGAGCCATTCGCAATTCACAGTTTCGTTCCTATGTCAAGAACAGCTTTAATTTACTTACCTGCGTACTAGAGAGTCATTTTACTGATCTAATACTTTAGAATAATCAGCAATCTTAAATGTATGAAATATAACGGGCAAAGTCAAACTACTAGTTCAAATGATTACAAAATCCTATAAATAAATCATGCAAATATCGTATAATTTTGGTATAATTCATAATATCGTATAATATCGTATAATCGTATAATCGTAATCGTAAATATCGTATAATTCATAGGACTAGTTTGAACTATGAAAAAAAAAATATATATATATATATATGCTCGAAAATTTCCCTTTGATTTGTGAAAAATTTCTATACAATAATTTCTAACAAAAATATTTTTCATATTTTAGCACAACAGATGAGAATTTAGCAAGCCCTGACAATTAAAAATTGTGAAAAATAACTTTTTTAACAGCAGCTTCAAGGTTTCTGCCCACTAATTCAAATTTATGACAAGCGCTTAACGGATAACGCTCAGGTTTGCAATTAAACTTCAACGGAAAGGAATCGACCATCGCAAATTTTTTTTTGAGTTCCCGAATCTAAACAATTTTACTATAATATTTACACCGATTTGAAATAGAGTGACCAAATAAAGCCTTCAGAACGAAGAGTTTCAGTTTTGCTTAATTTGAGAACTGATACTAAATTCCTCTGCATTTATTACATAATATGCTAAAAATAATTTGAAAAAATGAAATGAATAATGGTGGCTGATTTTTCCAGAATTTCTATCGTAGTTACGTCATACATTATGAAAAAGGTCAGTAATCAATTGGAAATAGGCTGAGAACATGTCAAAATTCGTTGAACTTACCACAACTGGCCACTCCGAATGATTAGGAGTGTTGAGCCAGACGACCTCACCAATACTCCAAACTTGAGGCACAACAGTGTTACTGGATGAGTCGTGACAACTCGCTGCATCACTTTCTTTCGTGGTTTTTTTCACAAGATCAACCAACAGATTTTCTCTGCCGACTTCATTTATTTTTGAAACTGCTTGTTCTTCTTAAGCTTCACTCATTATTAATATAATAAAATTAGTGCAAATGCATCAAGTGAAGAAATTCATGAACGAAAGATACTGAAAAAGTTACTTTATTACTCAAAGCACTCTGAAGATTATTAATAAAAAACTAAAGAAGGCTTTTTAACATTGTACAATCTTATAATATGCGATAGACGAGCCCCACCTGACATTTGATGATCAGCACTCAAAAGACCATTTTTTTTGAGTATATCGAGTGCAGCTCTATAAGCTTCTTTCATATCATTTTTTGCTCCAGCCGGCAGCTAAAATACCTTATCGTCATAAAAAGCACTAGATTCGAGTAACAAAAGTTTGAAATAATATTATCAGAACTAACAGGCTCATTGCCAGTTAAAAGCCGAAGCTTATGGGGTGGACAACTGAAAATCGATGACTTCAAATTCGAACTTTCATCAGTTGGCAGAAATGTATAAGTAACTTTTTTAGGGTATACACAGCGGATCTGAAAAATATACTTCTGATAATTGATCAAATAAGTCTGAATAAAATTAAAATTCTCTCAGAAATTCACGAAAACAAACCAAGGCTGGCCACTCTGGAAAACGTCGATAAGGAGCCCATACTACATCTCCAGCCTTCAGATCACCTGAACCAACTAAAATTGAGTATAAAAGAGCTAACATAATTTTAAATGATACTGATATAATCGAACTGATTCCATGGCCTTCATTCGTTTGGGTAAAATCAAAAATTCTTTTGCAAACAGTCAGGCATTAGTTCGTTTAACAAATTATAAAATTTTTATTGATCCTGAAATTTTTAAACGGCTACTCGTAACTTATTACTAGTAAGAGGCGTTTAAGTTTTGAAAAAATGATTAATTTCTGAAGAAAACGATAAGATTTTCCAGTTACTAAACTCTCAAAACGACAAAACTTAATAGATAAACACAAAAAATTCATAAACAATCAAATAAAGCAATTCTCAGCTACCATAGTATAGAGCACATTCACATACGAAATGTACCAAATCTCACAGTAATCAGTAAGTTCGTAAATGATAATCTGTTTCAGAAGACAGAAAATCGAGATCTCATGCAGCCTATTTATATATAAAACTAAGGAAGCTTACATGTTGGTCCTGAATTTTTCATTGGTCTTCGTCCCATTCCGTAATTGCGGTTTTAAGAGATATTTCAAATTTTATAACCAATGTATCGCTTAATGATTAGCATAAAGTCTTAAACCTGGAATAATTAGTAATCACTAACACACCAATACTTAAACAAAGCTGCTCAATGATAGAGTTTACAATGATGAAGCTTAGAACACAAAAATAAATAAGAAATCAGAAAAGTATATTTACAGATTAAAATTTCTACATACACAGATCAGCCTTTAGTGAACTAAAATCAAACATAATATGCAAAAAATGAATCCTGAAAAAGTATAGAATAACTCTCCATGGGTATGAACAACTCAATAGTTCTGAGAAAATTAATATGATGTAATATCGTTGGTATCGCGATGAAATACATCATTCCACTGATGAGTTCTACATACCAATTAGAGCGGTCTAACAACGCGATCGGGCTCTCCTAGATAACAAAGTCAGCCAGCAACAATCATAACAACTTTAGGCTGAATCACTACACATGCAACTGGGAAGAAAATTTTAAAGTATCAATCCCCCTGTCAAACATCTCGTAGAAGTCAAGTCAATCAATATCTAGAAGACAAGGCAACAAATAACTTTGTAAAAATACCTCAGTGACTGCTCGCAAATAGTTACGAAACTAGTCCATCTCAGATCGACGAACCGTATACAAGAATTCTTCCAGTCTCTGAAAAGTAACTCAAAAATTTCCAGTTAAAATTACTTGCAATATCAAGAGTCATGATTTGTAATGCTATATTTTCGACTAGTTCAACGTTCAACTGAATCACAAGTCAGTTTTCGTGGTTATACGCTCAACAACAAAAATCGATAAAACTACTCCTTACCACCACCCTGCACACTATTTCTTTGATAAAATAATGAGAGACGACAACTATCTCTAACCTCTGACCTTAAAACATAGCAATAGTGTGTGTACTCTCAATAGCCTGCTAGTTTGAGAAACAAGACCTCAGTAACATCTACCTAGTCGTCAGGTCTGTTTGAAGCCTCTTCTAAATGATTTTTAAATTACATTAAATACTGAATCTAACCTACAAAAATTTCCATATTTCTAAAGTTAATTGTAATCAATTATTGATATTCTCGAATGTTCGCTTTAAAATTCCAACATTTTATAATCTTTAAGACTGAACAAAAGACATCAAAATCTATGCAAATACAATCCCCATCACGAAATTCCATGCATTCAACAAATATCTTTATCATATTTTTCAGTGACCTACAGCAATTATAGAGACAAAATTACATTACATACGGACAGCTTCAATAAGTTAAAGGTTTTACTAGATGAAGTAAACTGATAAAAAAAAGCTTCCTGACGTTGGTTGACTTTATCACATATTAAAATGAATCACAGATAAAACTTAACATTATACCTGTTGATTACTGTTACGAGAAAAATTGCTTCTCAAGTTACATTTGATACTTCGAGATTCTTCATTGAAATATAGTTTTTCCGATGAATATGACAAGCTCTGTGTGGTTTTTTGTCTGTACTATCAGTCATATTTTGGGCTTTCGGAACGTTGACTTAAAAAAATATAGTTTGCATCAACGATTACATAACGAAAACGCTCTTGTAATGAAAAACAATAGACGAGAAATACCTGCCTCAATATAATACACCAAAAAATAACAAAATAGAATCAAATATTTATTCCTAATACCTTAAATTTACAAGAATAAGCACAGCATGCATACAGTAGAAAGTGGGTGGTATACACAAGCGGTCTGATAAATAAGCAAAACAGATAATTCAAATTTTCGCTACTCTGAAAATAAAAAACAAAACTCCCAAAACTGAGCAATTTTATTGAACCGTACAGTAAATACGAATAAGTTGAAAAAAGTTATAACAGTATAAGTATAGTGAAAAAAAAAAACCTTTTTTGAGCTCTCGTTTGTCTTAATTTACAGTACTGAAGACGAATTTGATTCAAGTTTCTCATAATTTCATGCAAAAAAATTAATTAATTAAAACTTGCTAAAGAAACAATGAACTTTACAGCTTACCATGAAAAAATGAATTATAAGAAATTCAGAAGTGCTGCTTTGAAATATGCTTTTATCAGGTAACTAATAGAACTACACACGAAAACATGAATGAACAAAATGCTACGGTTTCGATTTGGTTTCTTTAAAGATCTGAAATCGACTAATAAATTTTCCGCTTAGAACAATTCCCAACGATCCTTCCGTTTTCAATAATGACTTTATATAGGCATAAGCATAATCGTAAACTGTAAAGCTGATTCCTACTGCAATAGGACCCTGAAATTTCAGTGAATTCAAAAAATTTCAAATGTTCAATTTTTTATTGAATTGCTTTGAGATGGAAATAAGTAAATAAAATCACAAAGACTTTTCCTCTACAAAAATACTATCTTTGGTTTCAAGAAAATAAGTATATCTCCTAAAGCGGGATAATTTCATAAATTATTTCGCATGATAAACCATAACAGAGAAATAATGGCACATAAATACTGTAAAAAGAATGTCAGTATCACTTTAACGTCATTTCATCAACGAGTCTGATCTAAAAAGTTTCCAATATTCACAAATATATGCAAAAAATCTTGAATATCATCGTTTGAGGAATCAAGATATTACACCTCGAGGAATTACTAGACAACTTCATTCCATATGGGATAAAAATTACGAAACAAGACGCACCTTTATCCAATTCATAGTCAGACCTTTATAAAGACCTCGTTTGATACCTTCTGTTTTCCAGATCATATATATACTAGATAAAACGTTCTGTTCAACGGGAATGCGATGTGTCTGCATGCGACGACGTACAATATCTAGAGGATAAGATGACGACTGACCAATTAAGCCCGCAAAAGCACCAAACAGGAGGCGATATATTGGTGAAACTTCTCTGCCTTTTTCTCCTACAAAAAACTCTTCACAAACTGAAAATTTATTCACTGATTCTAATAACTGAAAGTAAATGAGAATATAGAATGGATAATAAGAACAATTAAAGCCTAAATTTATGCGTTCTCAATGAAGAAATTAACTCACCGATGATTCAACATTAAATAAAAATTTCACAGCATATTTAAACTTTTTCTAGGATTAAATTATTAGTTCAGTTTATTACGGCTGAAAGAACAAAAATTTGAATTGTAGTTTAGATGAATAGTATTGAAAACTGCGAAATCAGTAAATTAAAAACTTACCTAGATATAAAAACTTAAGAGTTTCAAAAGTGAAGAAACTAGCTCCAGCATAAGGTATAACTCCCATCAAAGTTGGAATCAAACCATTATAGAAAGTTCTGTAATTGTTTAGCTTTTCAAGTTGAATTAAATAAGTAACATAACATTGCTCAATTTTGTGTGATTTTTTCCAGTTCGTAATCAACTCATACTGCATAGGTAACCAGAAAATTAGTTAGCGATTAACTGAAGATGAAAAGGAATAAGCAAACCTGACACCATATTTTTGATAATCTTTGGTAAGAACAGATAACAACGAGCTATACTGATCAACTGTTGACGTGGCTAAACGTGCCTTGGCAGTATCAAGTGGATATGTACATATTGTAGCAACTACTGCTGCCAATGATCCCGCAATATAACGCTTTACTGGAGTTCTTTTTCTTAACAAATAACAAAGGTTGATTGGTTGCAGCAGTATTGCAAATCGTCAAACACGAAAATATTTAATTCCCAGTATTTGAATGAAAAACTGATTTATGCATACGTTCTCAGAAAGTGCATAATCACTGTTAGAAAACTTATACATCAGTCAGTTTTAACGATTCAGCAACAGCAATAATAATGTAGACGTGACGATTTGACTAGTATCATTCGGAATGCTCTACTGCAGAGCTCATAGAGAAAAAAAAGATAAGGGAAAAGTTTGAAATGAGTGAACAGACTACAAGAAAAACATCCGAAATAAAGTAAAAAATATCCGTGTAATGAACCGTTCTAACAAGGAAATTACAACTGCAGTGTGTATAGTTTAAAACTTAATACGTACCCATCTTTGTCAACACACATCACATACTTGATTTCTTCATGCGCTGCGAACTGGACAGCAGCATATGGTACAATCCGTACCATCATAGCCGAATTCCCTCGCCATAACGAAAACAAACCAGTCGTTAAGTACGTGTTTTTGATAAAAGTGAGAGCAGATTTCAAGGAATAACATGCCTTGTTAGAAACTAAACTGGATATCATATTATTACTGCTTTTGTATTCAGCAAATTCCAACTTTTCTAGTTACAGTCCTTATGAATATCATGAAAAAGATACTTTGAAAATTAATTTTTGTGCGGTCAAGAGGAGCAATAACTGTTTTGGCTATAGCACCTGCACATGCACCTGCTATCAGAGAAGCAAAGGCTGATCGAGTTGATTGGTTTTCCTTGCAAAAAAAATTTGTATTCAAACAGCTCTCTTCTGGTAATGAGTTAAACTTTTTGTTCTTCTTATTTCACAAAGTAACAAATCAACTTCATTTAGCTTATACCTAATTTTGCAAAAATAAATTAGATATCCATCAATACCAAAAACCTTAAACCACTTAATTCCCAGCACTTGTTTCATCTAAATTTTAAAAAGATAAAATTCCAACGCTGAAGCAGATATGCTTCATCTAATGCACTACTAATCAAATACTTTACCACTTCAGCGTGTGACATTACATTTGAACTTATTCAAGCGCATTTTCTTCTCAAAATTAACTCTCAAACGAAGCAGATGATAGGATCAAAAATCAATGAATAGCAGTCAATAGCAGTCAGTCAGTCAGTCAATCAGTCATGATTTTGTTACACCAGAAACTGAAATCCAGAACTGAAAAATAACATTTCAAATTCCTCTGATACATTCCAATCGTTAAGAAGCAAGTGTACATGCGCACACATGCGCGCAGACACATGCACACACATAGGACAGTTTATTAATGGAAGAGGAGTCCAAACTGATCCAAAAAAATGAATGATCCTAGTTCTTGAACTGAAACTAGTGTCTTACCATGCACAGTGACCACAGCATTATATCACCTTCAGTATCAAAAAAGGGATACATCTGCATTATAGTACATAAAATTCATCATGCTTGCTTCAGGACATAATCAAGTATGATAATAACCATAAAATCTTGACTTAACTTAACTTAAATCAAAGCAGAGTCAATCTAACGTAAAAGGTCAAGTTTACTGAGCTAAGAAAATTTTAATTTTGTAGTATCCAAAACTTTCACTCACCAAAATGTCAATTTCACGTTCGGTGAGGTGCCACACAAAACTTGACTACAGTCAACAGGAAAGCACAGCTTACCTATAAGGTGTTTACACCCAATTCATCAACTATCCCACATAGTTTCGGTTGGTTAGCCGGCCTCAACAAGATATTAGGTATTTTACGGTCGGCTTATATTATTTGAGCTAAATAGCTGACGTTGCATAATAAAAGACTGAAAGGAAGAACGACTGGTTGTTGGGGTTAGGGTCTGGTACAGTACAATGCAACTACCAATTTTAACTTTAATCTTGCATTGGTTCATAGCAGTTGTTGGAGCTGCAGCTGACTACTACAATATACTAGGCGTGAAACGTGATGCTTCAACTTCACAAATTAAAAAAGCGTTTCGCAGTTTGGCGCTTAAATATCATCCAGACAGAAACAAGGACCCTTCCGCAAACGAGAAATTTCGTGAAATTGCTGAAGGTATTTTTTTGTTGTATTTCCGTGACTCTTACTTTTCTCTCGATTATTCCTTCTGGAAAGATTAACTCTCTGCAGATTTTATCAGCTTGATAATTTCCTCCAAACTATTTTTTGCTTAACCTAATAATTCCTACATCTTCAACTTGGTTGCATTTGTGACAGTAATTTGTCTGATTACATTGAACATTAAGAAAATGAAGCACTATTTTTGGGAAACAAACTCTCGGAAATTTACAGTTAAAATAGTTGTATATCTCTTCTGACTGCACACATCGATCCTATTGTATTAGTGTGAGAAAACTCCAAAATTTTAGCTTATGAAGTACTGGGCGATGAACAGAAACGACGGCAGTATGATGCTGGTGATTGGTCATTTGTTGAAAGACAACATACGAAAGATTTTGATTTTGATAATTTCATGCGGCATTTTCAAGAAAGTACGTCATATTTTTCAGGAACTGTTAATATTTCATCTGCTAGATTTACAGTTGTTTCAAAACATCCCCTGTACCATTTTTTATCTGCTATTTCCAAACTTTAGAGAACTGCAAAATTATTGTGATGCTTTCTGTGAACATCACATAAATACTTATATAAAAATATAGAATACTATTAGAAGCAGAATTTCACAGCAATTTTGAGGTTTGAATTTTTTACTGTTTTTTTTGTTATTAAAAATGATCTTTCTTATAACTTGGACATAGTTTAGGTATGAATTTTCATCGAAGTAATCATGCAAATGCTCATTGGAGTCAGCATCAGAAGGCAACCCATGGGCATAGTATATTTGATGATCTTTGGGATGGTTTTGATGAATTTGCTACATTTGGTAATTTTGAGAACACGGGACCGTTTGGCGGATTCAGTGACATGCTTCAGTTTGGTGATTCGCATAAACAACCAGCCTCAATGTATTTCAAGCAGTCAAATCTAGGAGGTATTTTCAAATTTGTGGTAATGTGTGGTTTTCTTTTCAAAGAGACAAGATTTTATAGTATTATATAGATGTGCTAGATGCAGTACAGTAAGGACGGCACCATGAACATTTTTTTTCATTAAATTCTGTAATTTGCACTTTTGGAAAAATTACATCTAGTATGAAGTTTATGAATCTCAAGCATAAAATACTGGGTAGTCTACAGCGTGTAGTAATGCATAATTTCTGAGATGTAATTGACATCCCTTAGGACTATGTTCAGTCAACGTCCAACCTTCCTGATAAAATTTACAGGTCAGAAATGCCGAACGGTAACCAAGCAGTCGGGTAACTCGATTACTACCCATACAATCTGTACGAATGTCTGAATCTATTTGGAGTATTCCTATTATTTTTTTATTTGTATACATGTATATGTGTCATTTTTTGCTCTTATACTGAATCTTTTTATTCGATGGAGAAATATTAAAAACCAGCAATCTGGGCTGTCATACGTTTTAATTAGGACCAACAGAAATGTTTCCAACTGAAGATAATAACCATTGTTGTGACTTATTGAGAAACAGACCATATGATGTCGTCAGTTTGGTATATACCAAAACTGACAAATGTAATTTTTCTCAGAGTGCAAGAAAAATGAATACAATTAGTGATGCTAAAAATGAACATGGTTGAGTGTAAGGTCACGCTGCACAAAATGTTAGTGAGTTTTTGAATTCATTACGTAGGAAGCACGAATTCAGCTGTGTTCTAATTACTTGAGCTGAACTGCAAGCCATGTAAACAGCATATTTGCATAGGATTTGGATAACAGTTTACGTATCTTTATTCGAACAAAAGAGTTTGAACTACTACACAAAAATAGCGCTCTTTAGTTGTGCATGTATTTTTACAATCTTTAACTATGAAGTGTAGTGGTCGGTTGTTTCATTTTTTCGAAATCAATTCTAGTGATACGTGATGTAAATCTTTACCAGATACTGAAGCTTGCATAAATTGATCATAAAACTGCTAAGAGTGAGAATGATCGAGCAGGAACGTCGACATCATGCGCAACAAAAAGTACAAGCTCAGGAACTGCTTTTCATGATGTTTTGCGAGAATCTGCTACGTCGTTTTCAGGAACTCACTAGACCACTAACTATTATGCAGCCTTAGACAATAGCTAGCTGTTCAATACGTTGAATATTAGAAGTATCTGGATGTCGGGAGTCAGCAGGTCGAATTGCACGTCGCGTTAGGCCAAAAAATGAACTTGGTGTGAGTGTTGTGCTTGTGAAACGCCAACCAACATGCTGCCGACAACGCTCGCACTCGTGAATAGTCCACATGTAACTGAAAATCAAGAAACATGTTCCCAGCATTCAGTAATAAATTTCTACCAGTGTAGTACTCAGCATAATGACCAGTAGAGTATTCTAAGTCAGCATGCACAACAATAAGGAGTCACCATTTATACTTCTTCTGATAGAAATTACTACAGTTTGTATGGGGTAATATGGAAGGTTTTTACCGAAAAGTAGACATGTAATGAAACCCATATTAATTGGGACATTACGGTAACAAATTATTTACAAAATAAACAAGAAATGGTCAATATGTTGTATGAAATAAAAACAATATTGAATTGACAACTTGCTCTCTTTTGCATTCAAATAATTTACTACCGCTCTCTTTTGCACTCAAGTAATTCACTAACATTAAACATCACTATAGTTCTAAATCGCTAGATTGTTTTATTTTAACATCATTTACTAATGCTCAGTGATATCATCTTTAGCATTGAAGGCGCTAAATTACTAACCCAGGAAACCAAGAACATTCAGATGAAGGTACTCCATAACCTACAGTTGAACTCACTTCCGACAGAGTAAATAAATCATGTACATATCCACCTTAAAACACGATTCATAAATATAATTCAATTTGATCTTTTTGATATATTTTACTTGAAAATTATAAATAAATCTTTAAGTTTTTGCGCAAACTTGCTGCTTTTTTAGTTACTGAAGCAGGTTTATTCATTTAATTACATCTTTGCTAACCATAAAAATTGAGTGAATGATGCTTGCAATAAATTTAAGGAATCGATATCATTAACAAAGACCAATATTCATTTTACCTGGATTGACATAATGTGCACTGTTTCCATCAGTTGAAACATTAATCATATGTGACATCTGACCTAGTACAGTACCGCAGCTTTTGCAAACAATTAAATCGATCTGCAACATGATATTTTCCTAATTGAAAAAAAGAATTAGACAATAAATATATCAGGCAAAACATTACTTGGAAGCTTTCAGTGAAATATAAGCAAACCTTTGATTTCAAGAAATAACTACATGAGTGCATTCTTTCAATGCCAATTACTAAAAACAAATTAAAAGTGTCAAAACCAAATTACTTGATTGATGATATAATACTCTTCTCTTAATCGTCTATCTGTACATGATTGGTCAAGTAAACGCAAGCGTGTTTCCATATCAACTGGTAAGTTTGCAGCCACCCAATAGCTGAATGACGTGTTTCCCTGAAAATTTCATTTTACGAAATCTGTATCTTGATAAAACATTTGCAGCGAAAATTACTTCGTAAAAAAAAGCACCTGAGACAATACACGTTTAACTTTGTCATATACATGCCACCCATAAAGCCATTTTGCAATCTCAGTGACATAATGCTTCTGGAAAATGTACTTTCTTGAAATCACCGAAGAAACTGACATTCTTGAAAGTAAATATAAGTCATTTATCAGAAAAAAAGTTATAATGTTGAAAAAATGCAATGACAGAAAAAGACCGTTAATGACATTCTGAGGGTCTGATGTGAATGTGATGTCATTGCAGCAAAATATGGCAAACCCTGGAAATTTTGGAAAATCAACTTGCATTAGTTGTGCACAAAGAATTTAATGAACTAGTTAAAAAAGTAATTCAAAAATATACAATACTAAGGCGTAAGTTAGAAATTCCAAACCGTCCTTATTTTTTGGATGCTTCATACGCTTTCCTAGATTTTCATTCCACTTCATACTATTCAGTGTATATTCGACAATGAAAAAATTTTATGATACACAAAATTCAATCAATTTATGAATCTTGGTACAAATAGTTGAAACCCCGAAAAAAAATCTCCCATCTACTTTTTCAAGTTGCAGTCGAGAAAATGAAATAGGCATCAACATATGAGAAAAAGAAGGTAGCTCTTTTTCTTCTAGCACTTGTACTTCAGCATACGGCATCCTGAAATATTGAACTTTTGCAAAAAAACCGAAATCTACAAATTGTAATAGAAACCTTGGTTTGTTAAAAACAGTCAACGAAAAATACCCGTTGATCGCAGAATGACGGTTAAATATTCGACAACGCTGACGTCCTATAGCTTGTACAGATAAACCACCATCATTTTCATGTAAGCTCCGAATCTAGATAAATAAATTAACGGCTAAAAAAAGTATAAAGTGGTTGCTCAGAATATAACTGAAATAATGACTAAGTGACAAAGACTTGATGACAGGGCAAAAAATTTTCAATTCCATAAAATTTTATTCAATTACTTGTTCTGGAGCAAATCAGTCCCACCTGAATTAGTGTTGCAATATCTGTGTCAACGTTATCTAATTTTGGTTTCAGTGCGATATACTTATTTTCACGAGCTGCATGCTGAAGCTGCGAAACTAGCAACGGGTAATCTGTATGAAATGGTAATAGCTGCATTGGTAGTAAGACAATTGGCATTTCCAAAATTGAGACCGTAATTACTTTCCCAGGCTCTTCATCTTCGAGATTATGAGCCAATTCATCGTTTCCTAAAGCATCCATATGATATGATCGCTGAAATATATGAAACAAAAAAGGAACTTAAATATCCTGAATTTAAACTTTTGAAACAAAGAAATACTCTTTTTAATACTTGTTAAGAAATCGATAGCATAGTATCGTGATTATTGTTCTGTTTCAGTCATAGAATCAGCAATTTAGATGGCTAATATGAAATGAGAATTATTATTTGAGACGTTCAAAGTGAGAATAAGAAAAATATATCAATATGACTATATTAACCTCACCCATTCAATGATCAGAACCAACAAGAAAATTGCTATCTCAACACAAAGACTTCTTTGGTTTCATAAACAAATGTGACGAAATTAGTTACAAAATTATGTGACAGTTGTGATTTTAATTTGAAAACAATAAAACCTGATTCAATAAATACCAATTAAACAATAGCGATATTATTTATATTTATATACCATTCAATTGTAAGTACTGGTGCGCTGGAGGTAAGTTAACATCGAATGGTCTACGCTCCCCTTCATTATTCTCGACATTTCCCATATCATCAAATTCTACATCACCATCTTCATCAATGAAAATCTCATCGTCATGAATAACGTCCTCGTTCTCGTTGTCTTCATCCATCTCAAAAGCAAAACATTTGATTTGGCACAGAAAACATTCAATTAAAAGCTAAGAGCAGCAATAAATGACAGTTTTATCAATGAGCTGTTAGCTCCAAACCAGATTAGATGACAATGGAAAACTTACCATCTGCACGACTTATAACTGATTTCTGCAGCACTAAAATTTCTTCTTCACAGCTTTTGCATAGATTTTTGCAAATTTCCTTGTGCTGATATCATTTGTCTTCCTCAAATCGTACACTAAGAGTGATTAAAGACCAAAATGTACACTCAACAACAGGCAGGAGGAGTGCACACCAACGAACAAATTATGATAGAAATTGGTGGGAATTGGCGATTGCATTAAGCGTTGTATGATACAATTGGTAAGCAATTTGCTAGAGAGATATGAGCGTATTTGTATTCGGTACTAAATTTATGTCTTGGCTCATTACTGGAATGATTTGTTATTTTGGTAATTGGGAAGGGAGAGCAAGATTAGATATAATCAGAAGGGGTTTCATGAGTTTCTGCTTGAGTTTTTCTGTTACGGTAGTGTAATTGATTTGATACAAAAAAGAAAAGCTTCATGGATGAGTAATAATATGATTTGATTCATTTTAGTGTGATGACTGGAATGTCACGAACAGGTTGGCCGGTTGCTACGAGACCGCAAAAGATGGTTACCTCACAAGCTACAGTGAAGAAGTCAAACGATGTACGAAGCAACATTGATCGAGCCATCAATCTGTAAGAAATTTCAAATTGAACTGTAAAATTGATAACACCGAATTAAACAGATCTTATTACAAGTACAGTTTTTGTAATTTTGATAGCGATTCTTTTGAGGTAACAAGTCAAAGTTGCACATGTTTTAATCATCAGATATTGTAGAAGATGCATTTTTTTTGAAGCTTGTTTTTCTTTTAGTTCATAAAATGGATGAATGTTTCAAAATAAGTACAGAATAAAGAATTTGCAAATTAAATTAGATACGAGTGAATACTGCTGTTATGAGTGTATAAGTATTTATATCACAGGAAATCAGTAAATTGGATGAAAGTAATTTGCCAAACCAAGAATTTTTTTTCTTTGTCGTGTATTTATTACAACCAATATTTAAGGTATCCACTAACAAATTATACTTTTGGAACAAAAGACCCACAGGCAGAACGTGACCACTCAGTTCAAGCACGGTTCCAACGAATGCGAGAAGAATATGAAAAAATCGGAATGCGGCGATCTGTCGAAGGTGTATTACTTGTTCATGAGCATTCATTACCGCATGTACTTCTGTTGCAAATTGGTACCACATTCTTCAAACTGTAAGTTTATGTATGGTCTTTTTGGCATCTTTGCAGCACGTTGGTATCCAGCAAACAAAGATTGATGTTGGTGAGATTTTTCTTCATAAATTGTGTGCGCCATGTCTAATAAGAACTCATTAAAGTAATATACCTAATTTTTGGAAGTCAAAGAGGACGCTTAACGTACATTTATAGCCCATAATCTTATCAACTTGACCGTTGTTGCAGACCTGGTGGAGAATTAAATCCTGGAGAAGATGAAGTTGAAGGATTAAAACGGTTGCTTACAGAGGTGAGTAAACGTTTTTTAATACTTGTAATTGATAAATAAAACATGTCTTGAAACTCCATGTGATTGATTTTTTTTTCTTGTCCATCCGTACTTCCCATTAGATAATGTCATTGGGACGAAAATTATGATACAGTGGTACATTCTACAGTCAATTCAATGATGCATATTCTAGTAACCGGAATAAAAAATTATAAGAAATTTTCGTTTTTATTTCACGAAAAATTAGATTGCAAAATCTATTCCATAGTTGTAATTAAATTTAGACTCTTGGACGGCAAGATGGTGCAAAAGATTTATGGACTATTGAAGACGTTATCGGGAATTGGTGGCGGCCAAATTTCGACCCTCCAAGAGTAGGATCTTTCAAATTTCCAATTTTTTTACTTTTTGTAAAAGTTTCGTGAACGGAATTAATAAACGTATATTTGAATGTCGCTTTCAGTATCCGTATATCCCTGCGCATGTAACCAAACCGAAAGAGCAGACTAAACTGTTTCTTGTGCAATTGCCGGAACGAGCTCTGTTTGCAGTACCAAAAAATTATAAGCTTGTTGCTGCACCACTTTTTGAGTTGTATGACAACTCCACTGGCTATGGAAACTTGATTGCTAGTCTCCCACAGGTCCTTAGTAGGTAAAAATATCAATTATTTTCATTAAAATTATCATTTGACATCATCTTTTCTTAATTCATTAATTCATTTGGTGATTGAGAAAAAATTATTTGTTTAACATGTATTTTGCGCTTAAAAGCTTTTCAATAACTTGTTGTGAGTACAAAGCCTGTCACTCATAATATGAAATTCTGTGAGAGCATATAGGTCGATGGATCTGTTTTATATTCACTTTTATCTTTAGATTCAATTTTTTGTATACTCCATGATATTTCGAAGACACGCAAACACGGGATTTTGTTTCATGTAACAGATCGCAAAGGATAGAAGAGTTTTGTAACTTGCCACAGTTGAACATGCGAGCAGAAAAATTTGTGTTTTTTCTCTCAATGTCAACCTATTCATTGTGATAACAATTAATTCCGTTCAATATATGTTTCATTATTTGAAAATGATTCAGTGCTCTGTAATGTCAGGATCTCCTCAAGCTTATAAATTGCTAGTTGATGTAAAAAATTTTTCATTCATTGTTACTTTAAATTTTTTATGATTTAGCAAAAATGCGCGAATAAGTGCAGAAAACTGTCAACACGTCCTTGTTTTTAATGTGACCGTTTTATGTTAGGATAATTTTATTGAATTGCAGGAATTTATACATCAGTCTACCAGTTTATCTATTAATAAAGTAGGCAGAACATTATTGTTGCTAGAGTTCTCACTAGTGAGGTGATTTCTAGGCATCCAATGAGGTAGAGGAAAGCAGTGTCTCAGCATCTTGTCACCGTGTTAAAGGCATTCATTTAGTTGTGAGTGGTGAATAAGAATCTGGTAGTATGTTAGAACTTTAAGGATAACTATATCACAATCCTTGTCCGTTATGCAAGATGAGGCGTTCTGTATTTTATATATGACAAAAAATAAAAGTATCTGGTCGTGCTTGTCATCTAAGAGTTTTCAATGAATTGTTAATCTCGTGGTGGTATTGTTTGTAGAAGTCATAAGGTTTTCCATCATTTTCTTTTTCACTGTGGTTGGGTCTTGGTCATTTTGTGAATTGTCTGTATGGAACTACAGGTTCCTGCTGCTTTTGGTGGGTGGTACTAATGAGTTATGAGGAGTGTTTACCATTAAGCTCTGTTTTGTTATCTTCACATGAAGGAATCTTCTGTTTCGTAAACCGTGTTATTCATTTGTGTTGTGGACCCTATTTAAAGGACATGGATTGCGATGTAGCATCCCATCACGTGGAGTCGTTCAATTATTTAGTCGATCCTGGGCTGCACTTAGCTGCGCTTGATGTACCTGCTGAGAAGTTCCGACTTCCTAACGGAGAAGGTGTTGAGTTGCGATACACTGGAGCCAGGCTTGAATTCCCTCAACTTGAAGCGAAAGGAGTATGCTTTGGTTTCATACATTTTTCAATTAGTATAGGTCGAGTAAGGAAGAGAATTTTCAAGTTTGTGCATTTATAGGGCACAGCAGTTTTAATATGGTTCATCATAGTTTACTTGCATTTAAGTTGGCACGAAATTAGATTCCCTTTATATTCCTCTGTTCATAAATATTATTCGCATCAGTTCTAAAAGACAAACCTAGGCATAAAATATTCAGTAGGAAGCGAAAAAAAAATTGGCATATGATAACTCAAATTTATTTTAGAAAATTTGTCTAGTATTTTTTAGGAATCTTCAGTGATTAAAATATTTCCCGCTGAATGTAGACAGCGTGGATTGACATACAGGGGAGCATTGAAAGTGGGTATAGAAATATGGATCAATGGTACTAAAATGGATTTTTGTGAGCTCATTATCGGCAAGGTTATGATTTTTGCTTTTATAAATCGCTGCTGTGGATAGAAAATATTTCTAAAATCTTTGAAATGTCAAATTCTCATGTTCAAGCAGTGATTTATAAGTTTTTTATTCATAAAGTGAATCATTCACAGTTATTGTTTAAAAAACTGATGCGAGTATTCAACTGTACAAAAAAAGATTACTTTTAATAGGGTACAGAAAGTTTGGTTTTCTCTTGGTTGTCAACAGAATAGCAACATTCTTATGATTTAGAGCTTATCGTTTGTTGAAATGATCGTATACTGGGTGACATTTATTTATGCTATGATATAAAATCAAAAACTAAATGCAGAATCTGAATGGTTTTTTTAAAAAAAAGCAGTTCTGTTGAAAATAGATTAAATTTTCTAACTTGTGGTTTTAGTTTTTATCGATATTCTATTAGGTGCCCGTAATGTTGAAATCGAATAGATGTCATTTACGATGGCTAACTAAGAAGGAGTTGATAGCGCATGGTGAAGAGAGGTCGGAAAAAGGCGGTTATTTTATTTGTAAAGGTAGTGAAAAGGTGATGTACGAATAATTTTTTCTAAATAATATATACTTGACTGCATTCAATTACTTGTTTATTCACTTTATTATTAGATGTAGTAAAAATATATCAGAATCCTAAACCTTTCAGGTTATACGTTTGTTAGTAGCTAATCGTCGAAACTATCCTATAGCGATAGTACGACGCTCATTTCGAGAAAAAGGAGCATTATTTACTCAATTTGGTGTAATGATGAGATGTGTTAGAGAAAACCATTCGGCTGCAATGATGACGCTTCATTACTTAGAAAGTGGTAGTGTTGTCATTGCTTTACAGGTTCATAGTTGTTTACACTTACAATTTTCTAAAATCCTTGGGTTATTCTATTTGCTAAGAGCTCATTTGGAGTTTTCATTTACACAGCTCATGAAATCCATTGTATATTTCGTAATTTTTATATACGTTTTGTGCGTATAAATCTGTGCATTAGATCATGTAATAAATCTTAGTCAAATTCAATGTTTTCTGACATCATAAATCAGAAAATGATAAGTTTATGTGCCACTTATTCTAAGCGAAAGTTTCACAGTATTTTCAAAGAAGATTAAAACACATTAACTAGAATCAATAATCATTATGCATATTATTTGAAATATTTCGTTTTTGAATTAAATTAACTGGAGTAGTTAAATATTCTTGTTCTTCGTAAAGTAAGTATTAATATCTTTACAAATATTTAACTCGAATGAGATATATTTTTACAGTATCGTCGTGAAATATTCTACTTACCTTTAATGTATGTCCTCAAATCATTAACTTCAATGAATGATCAATGCATCAAAGACAACCTTACTAGATGTAGACCTGATGATCACTTTTGGGAAGGTATTCGTCGTCTTTTTTATAATTTTTTTTACACATCTTCAATTTATATATGTATTTTATAGATGTCTTAGAAACAGTATTCGCTGCTTTGTAAGGCTTATATTAGAAATTAAATTTTTTTACTTTAAGAAAATAACTATTATATTGATTTGACATAGAAAACTAGGTAATAACTTTTGCATAGTTATATCTTTAGAGATTAATCACTAATTCTTAATATTTTACATTATTTTGTGTATGAAAAGCTTCTCACAAAATTTTTGTGCTTTTGAGATATCTGTGAGGAATTTCTCCTTACCCCATTTATTTTTCTTCAGGTTGTGTGACGACAATGTTAGCACTGTGTAATGAAGACGGCATAGTGGACAGAAAATCGGCTTTAAATGCAGTTGGTAACAGATTTCGAGTAGCTGCACAAGATCGCATTGGACCGTGGGAAAGTTCTGCAGTAAGTAGTCACCATAGTTTGTGTAATTTAAAGTGATGGTTAATCTAAACTTCCAGATTAAAAGTAGATAATTAAAAGTATATAATGAAGTTAGATGAATGATCAGTGCTGCAAAGACATTCTTATCAGATGTAGATATTTCTGGACAGGGATTTGCAGTTTTAATATTTTTATGTGTTTTTGAGTTCTTGCAAACATATTTATTTATTTCTGAAAATTCAGATCAAATTAAAGTTTACTATGAAATTTCAGGATGTTGGTCATTTTCTACTTCGTTCTTGTGTTGCAATACATTTGCATGATGATGAGGATAAATTTTTCCTTCTTTCATTTATGGCTCAAAAGTTGATAGCGTTAGTGAAAGGGGAATGTGCCAGTGAATCTCCAGATAATCCACAATTCCAAGAGGTGGTCATATCTGGTCATGTACTTTTATTAATTATACGTGAGCGCTTGGAAATCATTTTGGGTATGGTTCGCAGAAAAATCTTGTTTGAAGCTAAGCGAAAAGAAGACCGTTTCCTTTTAACAAGGTTTGCATTAATTTCCATACAAAATACTAATATCATTTTGTTGCTAAAAATTACCAAGGATACTTTGGTATAATAATGCTCTGATAACTCTTATTTGTGTTATAGTCATGAACTACTGCGTGCTATTACTTCAAAACGGTTAAGTGATATCACACGAACCTTAGAATATTTCATTGCAACCGGGAACTTAATTACAAGGACGGGATTGGCACTGCAACAAAATAATGGTTTTTCAGTGATTGCCGAAAGAATCAATCAGCTTCGATTCATATCACACTTTCGGTAATTTCTGAACAGTTCACGTGTACTTCTTTGCTATGTTTACAAATAGTGATGGAACGATTCGATTTATGAAGAAATAAATCTTTAATGAAGGAAAAGTTTTTATCCAGAAGTAAAAAATTTTTCCACAATTCGTCTAATAATCATGTATACCAGTACCAGTATAAAAAATACTTCATAAGAATCTACACAAAACACAATACATTAAATAAGTAAAAATATAACACTGGTTTTTCTGTGTAAATTTTTATGATTCAGACAGATCGAAAAAATATCGTAATAATTTCTCTTCTATAAATAGCATTTTAGAGCCATTCACAGAGGAGCTTTTTTTTTGGATATGCGTACTACCGATGTACGAAAGTTGCGCCCAGAAGCTTGGGGTTTTATATGTCCTGTGCATACACCTGATGGTGCTCCTTGTGGTCTTCTGAATCATATCACTGCTAGTGTGCGCATAGTAACCCATTATTCAGAAACTAATGCCTTACTGAAATTGCTGGGAGGATTGGGGATGGTTGGTCATTCTGCTTTCACTCTATTAACGGCGGATCCAGTAAGTTTATTATTCTGTTATATATGGTTATTATTTGAAGTATTCTTAAGGGCTGTATGCGAGGCGAGTGCAGCGAGAGCACCAGAATACAATCTGGCAGCAAAATCAGTAATACGAAAAAAGAAGATTGACTTCTGTGTTATATATATTTTTCCCACCTGTACATATATATATAGATACATTTTAAACCTAAATTAATATATATAATATGGATAGATAGATGGAAAATTTGTTTATATAATTTTTTTTAGACGTATCCTGTACTAATAGATGGGAAATTCGTAGGTTATGTAAATCAAGCAGATGCTCGACGTATAGAAAGTTTATTGCGTCATTTGAAAGTGTCAGATGATATTCGAGTGACGCCTTTTGCTGAAATAGTTTTGGTAGAGAAATCTATAGATCCACTCAATGTTCTTAGTCAGTATCCTGGTCTTTATATATTTACAGAGCCATCGCGTTTTGTCCGTCCTGTTACCTTCCTTCCGACTAACAGAATTGAATTTATAGGTAAATTATTAACAAGTACTTTTACTTTTTAGTGCTGATATTTTGTTTCATATAAGCTCCCCGTTATGTCTTTTGATTTGAAATCATGTTTATTGAAATCAGAAAAAGAATATAAAATCATACTCAGTGACATAAGAACAGCACGAAGTTTACGTCGTATGTTATTATCTTGTTAGACTAGTTATTTCAGATTACTTTTTAATTAAAAAGTTTCAGGAACATTTGAGCAAGTTTACTTATCAATTTGCATTGATCCAAAAGAAGCAGAGCATGGTGTGACACTGCATCAGGAACTTCATCCTAGTTGTTTATTTAGTTTTTCTGCAAACCTAATACCTTTTCCTGATCACAATCAGTCACCAAGGAATGTTTATCAGTGTCAAATGGGTAAACAGACAATGGGAACACCCATCCACTCTTGGCATTATCGAGTTGATAATAAAATGTATCGCCTTCAAGTGGGGGTTCAAATAAATTTTTTACATTACGGACTTTATCGCTTAAGTAGTAATAAAAATGTGGCAGCTAAAGTAATTACTCTATATGTTCATCCAAAAAATTGGCTAAGCAGGGCGCTAATTTTTAATGTTAATGGAGTTGTTTTAGTGCTCACTAATCAACTCCTTAAATGCTTTATCATTCTACAACTAACATATTACTTAGTTTTGTTGGAATATGACAAAAATTTTTACTTATTTTTATTTTCCTGAAATAAACAAACATAAAATGTTGTTCGTCTGAGTAAGTATTTTACTCTTAAAACTCTTAGTTTCTTAAATGTGTTTAATCAGAAGGTTATTAGGGATAAGTCTTCCAGTTTTCTTGTTGCACGCTGTTAGTGAGATTTCTGCTCATTTGACGTTTCAAGAACGTTAATAATCGCTTTGCTTACAGTTTCCTCAAAATCCTATTGTGAAACCTGATCCATATGAGAGATATGGTATGGACGAATATCCTTTGGGTGTAAACGCATGCGTTGCAGTTATTTCATATACTGGTAAAATAAGTTCAATCGAAATAGATTATTGAAGTGAGATATAAGTCAGTTGTAAAAATGCTTGTTTTACAGGCTATGATATGGAAGACGCAATGGTGATTAATAAGAGTTCTTTTGAACGTGGTTTTGCACATGGTAGTGTTATCAAAGTTGAAAGGTACTCTTTCAATTAAGTAAAAATTAGTCACTAGGAATAAGGTTTAAAACTAATTAGTTGTAACAGATATAAAAGTTATTGCTTACGTCGACTGTTTTTATTAGTTCATTGAAAAAATTAATGTTAACAAATATTGAAGATGAGTTAAATATATGATGATAGTGTATTAAAATTACATCTTATGATGAATAAGCTTCTATATCTCTAAATTTAGCATTTCTTTGAGCTTGAATTTACTTGCTTTCATTCAAGATGTGACATTGACGTCCTAAGTACACAGGAATAGTATTATTTAAAGCTTGGATATTTTGTCGTTTTGTTATTTCATATAAGTTATACATATCAGGGTGAATCTAGCCGGAGAGCGATGTGAAAAAAAACAAGTGTTTCTCTGTGACCCGAAAACTACTCAAAAAAGTATTGGTAGTGATGGTTTGCCGATTCCTGGACGTCTTTATATGGACGGTGATCCGTATTATTCAACTTACGATACTGAAACAGGAGTTTATAAAATACATTTTTACAAATATGCAGAATCAGCATTTTGTGGTTCTGTGAGAATTGTGGAAGAAACCGAGGCATCAGTTGACGATAAAAGAGGCATATGTGTAAGATTTGATTTGTAGTCATCATTTCTTATCTCTTCATTAAAAAGAAGGATTCACAGAAATTTGTCATGAATCTTTGACAAATAAAAATCTAAAATAACTTTCGTTACCAGACTTTCACTTGTCAAACTAAGAAGACTTGACTAATTTGTTTTATGTGGTTAGTTGTTTGAAAAGTAAAGTTCTGATTTTTGCTTTTGTAGCATGCGTTAATTCAATGGCGTATTCAACGTAATCCGATAATCGGTGATAAATTCGCATCAAGACACGGTCAAAAAGGAATCAATTCATTTCTGTGGCCCACTGAATCTATGCCGTTTTCGGAAGCTGGAATGGTTCCTGACATTATTTTCAATCCTCATGGTTTCCCATCTAGGATGACCATTGGTAAGATTTTCTATTTAAACACTGTTGAGCATTTTCAATATCAGTTTTTATCCGAATTAAGTTATTTCAAAGCAAAAGCATGAAAATGTTTCAAATTTCAAATTTTTAATGAACAAAGTATAGAGAAGTTTGTTCCAGATTAGAATTTTGCAATTAACAGCAACAGTTTTTGTTACTGAATTACATTTTATTGGCTGATTGCTTCTAGGAATGATGATTGAAAGTATGGCTGGTAAAGCTGGAGCTATGCATGGTTCTACATATGACTCGTCGCCATTTGTTTTTAAGTAATGTTTCTTTTTCACATTCATTTTTAAATTTATGATGAACGTGACAAATGAAAATCCGGTAACGAAAGTTATCAATTTTCATTTGTCAAATTAGTCTTTAAGAATGAATATTAAGTTTACTTGTCTTCGGTAAATTGATTTTTTAAGTGAGAAAAAAACTGCAATTGATTATTTCGGACAACTTCTTGTTCGAGCTGGATACAACTATTACGGGAATGAAACGATGTATTCAGGTGTAGATGGTCGTGAAATGGAGGTAATATTCATCAGCGTTTACATCGAACTTAAGAGAGCTTTTTAGCTTCATTCACAGAGTTAAGATATTGTAATTGATGCTTGAATGCCATTACCCTTAAAATTCGATTAAGAGCTTGACATCTAAGACTTTAGGTCCAAATTTTTTTCGGAATTGTATACTACCAACGACTAAGGCATATGATCGCTGACAAGTTCCAAGTGCGTTCAACGGGCCCGACAGACCCAGTAACTTTACAACCAGTGAAGGGTCGTAAGAAAGGTGGTGGCATCAGATTTGGGGAAATGGAACGTGATGCTATGATCGCTCATGGAACTGCTTTCACGTTACAAGTACTGTTGGAAATCTGAATCCGTCATTTAACTTTAAGCATAACCTCAAACGTCAATGCACTATTTCAATTTGCAAAAACACTTCAGGATCGCTTGCTAAACTGCTCTGACTATGACGTTGCTCACGTTTGTTCACGCTGCGGTTCTATGATGTCGATGCTTAGATGTCCAAAAATGTCGAGACGTTGGGGTGATAAAGTAAGTATATGTTGATCTGTATGTAATTTCTACTAAGTTTACTTGTAGCTATTATGATTAGATACATTTGATAAGCATTAAAAGACATACCGTAGTAGAGAGTGGTAGAGAAAAAATGTTTGTCAAGCTCAGTAGTTGAAGAAAGCATAGTCTTATTTCGGAAGCTCAAAATATATTCACCACAATATTCTGATCTAATTTCTGCCAAAGAAAGTTGCCGTCTGAACTGTTTTTGAAAAGAATCATAGAAAGTCGTCCATTTCACGAAAGAATTTATTAATTAATTTATAGATGACAAAAAAGCACTGCTAACGAGACTAGTAAAACTAGCTGTGACTAAGCGAGTATTGAAATTTAAGATAAAGTTGTCTTGCAAAATTCTTCAGAATTCAATTGTGAATCACAGTGAGCAAGAAATATGTTCATTATGTGGGAAAGATGATCAGATTTTTGCTGTAGAAATGCCACGTGTCTTTCGTTATTTGGCAGCTGAACTTGCAGCAATGAATGTTCGCTTAAAACTTTCAGTGAAACATCCATCCAACCTAAATCGCTAATTATCTTTATCATTGTTCCGTGCATGTGTAACACGTCTATTGGTACAGTAATCTGCTTATAGACTAAAATCAGAAATGCAGCCCAGTTGTGTTGGATAAAAATTTGATTTTCTTTACTTCCTGCTCTATTCTTAGCAAACTCACCAACAGATCCTTACAAATTAATTGCAGTACAATAGAAAATTGACAATTTTACAAAAATATAGCTGCAATATTAGTGCATGGCACTGCATCTATATATTTTCGAAAGTCATAACTCCATGAATTAGGGTCGCAACACTTTCGTAACAAATGAATCCCTATTTCATGTAATTATGTACCTTTTGAAGTGGGTCCAGTTTATGTCTGAACGAATGTCGCTGACTAATGACAGCCTTTCATGTGGAATGTGTAAAATTCTATAGAGGCTTGATTTTTTCATAATGAAACTGTGATCGCAACAATTTATCTGTCATTTCGTCTCGTATACGCCGCCTAATTTCAGTGAATTGCTTCTGGGCAAAATCATAAAATTCTTTCTCCATTTTGTATATAGGATCCCTGTGGATTACTTCAACGGTTGCCTTCGTGGGTGGTATTTTCAGATTAGTATGACGCAAATTTGCACGATTCTCTAAAACATGAACATATTTCTTGTACTATATGAAGAGAACATAATATAACCACATACAAATTTAGTAGCATAATTCGTAAAAAAATGTACATTGTAAGTACGAAATATTCAGCAGATTTGATCAGAATGATCTCGGCCTATGGAATGAATTTAATTATTTAACCAAATCATTTTACTAATTTCTTAAAAAATATCGAGATAAACTTACCATCAAGTGAATCGAAATTTTTCAATGCACCATGAAAAAATGATGGCAGCAGGAGTTCGAGCAATTCTATAAAATCTCTCATTCGTTCAGTCAAGCCGACCAACAGATAATGATTGATCAGATTATTTTTAGCTTGTTCTAAGGCACGCAAATTTCCAACTTCACTAAATACAAGTCTTTGAAAAAACTACCAATTTGATTTTAAAAACTGTTAAATAAGAAAGCAATGGATTATGTAACTATATCGAATTAACAATAACTCACCACAAATTAATTTATTTAAACAACACCAATAGATGAAATGAAATATTTAGGAAAACAATTAAATGCATTTTCGAACTATTACACAATTTATAGATTTCTCAAGATAAGTAAACTCTAAAAACCATAACATCACTTCAGAGAATTTTACATACCCGCAAAAGTGATGCGTTCCACAAAAATATGGGATTTGCAGCCACATCTGCTTCATGTCGCAATCTCTTCCTCTCCGCGCTACACATTCATCAAATGTCTGGAAAAGTGGAAGAACGGATCTGGTTTCAATGGTTATAGATGATTCAATCATTGCAGATATCACATAGGTATAAATGAGCAGCAAATTTATTTTCTAAGCTATGAAAAGTATCTGAAGAAAAAATGTTCGGCTAGTTTTAAGAAGACTGTTAATTCAAATTACCTCATTGTTTCCTGCACGACTTCTCTTCAAACCGATACGATAATTGTCGCCATAACGAAGAAAGTAATAATATGATAACAATCGTTCAAACGGCTCTCGTATTAAATTTATGTACACCGGATTTGGAAGACCAAATCTAATATGAAAGTTGTAAAGTAACTCCAGAACTAAAAAAGTAAGAGCGAATTTCTCGACACTGGAATTACAAAACCGTTAATAGTTTTTTTGCATTATTTGATATTTGACTGAGGCAACAAACTAATTTAGAAGTAAAAAAATTGTTTTTTGGCGGTCTGTCAAGAAAATACAGTATTCGTAAAATACCGATTAAAATCGATAAAAGCAATATGTCCATGATAAATAGCAGGAATGCGCTCTTTCCAATTAGTAATATTAAAGATGAAATGCTTCTGATCAACAATATTCATTATATAACGATTACGAGTTATATTCAAGTGAATAACACTGAAGCCATTTCGATGGCATAAACTATACATTACAGCATTGGTCAAGGTTGTTGAACCAGTCTTCGGAATCTGAAGAACAAAACTCATACCTTCTCCAAGCTCAACATTCATTTCATCCGTACTATTTCAGTCGTTAAACCTTGCACAGGAAATACTCAATGCTCTGTCTGCTAAGGAAGCCAACTTTTTACTTCTATTAAACGTAATTTTTTCACGATTTTGTAAGAAATTTTCAAAATATAAGAATTAAACTTGGATAAATCTTTAATAAAAGTATGGAAAACTTTGTTGAAGTGTAAACTTTGAATTTCTGAGAGTCTAAATTGGATGCTTTACTCGGTTGTAAATGATGATAGCTGAAGTGTATTCATGTCTATTCTTGAGACCAGTATGCATTTGAAAAATTGGTTGAATAGATTTTGTTTGGCACGAAGAATTCAAACGAGAATGTAAATAAACAAAGATGATCAGTACTAAAGCAACATTGACAAATATCCACTGAATCTTCGTTATCATTAATTGAAACAATCTGTAAAAAGTATGCACAACATTTATAAAATTACACATTTACACTAATAAATGGGACTGACAAATTTAAATATAAACAAGCAGGCAATCCATGAACCACGAAGATCCCATACAGAACGACAAGTATTTGCAATAATTTACTTCAAAGCTTCGCAAATTAAAAAATTCGCAACGTGTGAGCATCTAAATCGGTATACGTTGGTTTAATAAAAGTAAATTTCATATTTAAGGATCGGCGTATTATGTACGTAACAAATAGCGAAGTAACTAACTGATCAGAAGAACACTGAATATTTGGAGGATGGAAAGAGTACTATGTTAGTTAGTACACAGTATGAAGACTGATTGCTTTTTGGTAATGTCATGAAGAAGGAATGCTCTGTTACTGAAAGTGTTGGAAAAGTATCACTCTTTGCTACGAAAAGTGAAGTGAGCTAATTGTTGCGCAGAAAAAAATTACTGTTCACACTGCTGCACAGTCGAAGAATGCTTTTGAGCTGATAAATGCAAGGACTGAACATATTGAGAGACCTTTGACCCTAAAATTGCTCTTACTGAGATTTTTTGTTGGATACGCTTAGTTGCTGTCAAAGGCAATAAGTTTGTTACACATTGCACGCTCCTTTCCGCTCTACACACGTCTTTTGCGAAGGGATCTCACTTAAGACACATACGTTGATGGAATACTTAATTAGCTGAATTTTATCCGTTCATTTCCATACAAAATTTCTTACAATCTCTATTACACACTTAAGTTTAAGTCCTGTTTTTCCACGCACCCTTTTTTCATGTTAGCATGCTGTGACAAGTCACTTCGAAAAGCAAATGCTAAATCTTTTCAATCAAATGTGCTGCGATTCTGAGCATAGTCGCTCCAATTGAAGCTGTCAACTCTTCTAGCACTAAATTTTTAATGTTATTTGAGCTAAGGCTGTAATTGATATTGCAAGTTAAAGACATGAAAATGGTATTTTACTACTTCACAACTCTTCAAGAATTTGTGCATTCCATGGAGAAACACAAAGGAAATCCCACGAGTCATTCTGAAGCACGTCACTTTTTATAGCAAAACAGAGAAGGAAAGTAAATTTTAGATGCTAGCATGAGAGAAAAAACTCTCTGAATGCTTATCAGCATGAAGTGAACAAATTATTGTAAAAGCTCGTTTTGCTAGCAGAAGGATAGGCGCTGAAAACACTCTTCAGACTTATTTTTGACAATCTCGGTGATTCTTTTTCAGCCGACAGATTAAATAAACGATATTCGAAAGACTTCAATTTCATTCATAGATTATCAGTTTTCTATCTTCATCAAAAATTTGAAGCGCAACATTTTTCATTCAAGCATCTTTGAGGGTAAAAGTTACAATGAACAATTGTTATCAAATTATTAAAATTATGTTTTTCATCCGTCACTGGAAACTTAAGCTTTTTACGGAAATTAGCTGTAAAAGTTATCACTCATATTGGTGTGCACTGCTTGTTAATTAATTATTGTATATTGAACACTTATTAAATTTTAAGTTAGCGGCCACATTTACAGAAAAAAGAGGGATTTGAGTGGTTAAAATGCATGTAATTGCTTTAATTCTGTTTGAAAATGCGCAAATAATAATTTTGAAAAAGTCTTAGGTGAAAAATTAGCATTAATTAAGCAAATATATTTAACAGTGGACAATTTTAGCAAAAATTCTACTTCGATTAAACTAGAGAGGAAATATTTTATAGTTTTTGTATTCTTATTAATTGATGCTAATTTTTAAAATACAAAAAAATGTTAATTTTTTTTTGTAAGAAATACAAGTCTACGTCTAATATACTTCTCACAAACGTTTCATAAACAAAGCCAAAAAATAACTATAGAAAGTGCTATAATTAAATATCTACCATTCTTTGCAAAAGTATAGCACATTTTTTATAGCAAATTAAATTGGATTGCAGCGAGAGTGATAGAATTCTTAGACTTAGACTTAGACTTGTACGTTAACATAACACTATTTGCTTAATTTATGTGCTGTCATCCTTTACGAAAATGTTTTTGAGGAATTTTACTTTTGAAATAAAAGTAAGCAAATTATTCAGTATAGTATATATGGACAGTAGTTAAGAACTTGCAGTAGCAAACAGAATGTTCATGCTCTGAGCTAGAATACATTGTGAAAACGTAAGCCTTCCCTTCGAAAATATAAATTGAATAACTGCGAATGAGCACTGAATTACCATCCATTATCATTAATTTTAATGGATTTTATTACTTTATCACAAATTTGACTCGCACCAAATCAAACTTTATGCTAATTTTACATCGTTAATTTGTATATGTTTGTACTCATTAAGCTAGGCTAGATGGTAAAGCTTGCTGCTAAAAAATTATTCATAGCTGAAAAGTCATCAGAGCTCAGCTTTGTCTTTGAAATAATTAAGTCTGATGTTGATATTGTTTTAGTTCTTAATGATCGCCTCTATTGATAGATGAGCTTCGTTTCTGTCTTTAATGAAGATACAGAATTTGTCATCTATTTGAAAAAAAACTTTAGCCGCTTTCTTCCGCTTTTAAATGAAACAAGCAAATGATTAGGTATTTGTTTTATCATATTTAATATTTAGAATATGTTATCCTCATTCACTTTAATCTAATTAAAATGTTCGTTGTTGCAAATTTCATACTCAAAGTTCAAATTTGTTCAGAAACAGATTTTGATTAACACTACACAAATGAAGCAAAGTAGAATTCTGTACTTTTTCTGACATTCAATTACAGAATTAATCCATAAAATAATTAAACTGAATGTATTTGCAACTGCAAGAATAGATACATTAAAAAGCATTAAATAAATAATTCATTACTTTAGTCATACAGAATAAATGATCGTCATTTTGTGTGTCGTCAGAACCTTGAATGTATATTATTAAAAAATCTGTTTAGTAGATGCAAAAAAGTTGGATAGATTGAAGTTTGTCTATGCATGTATAAATATGAATTTCTAGCCTTTTTATGAGAATTTTGTGGGTTTTAATCAATTTCTATTGACTCAAATCTAAATTTAAACATGATTTGAAAAAGTCATGTATTTATTCATTTCCAAATACTCTGCAATTATTTAATAAAAATTTCCGATTAATTAAATTCCAATTGATCTGTCCTATGAATAGACAGCAATTTAAAACTTTGATTTTTTAACTAATTATTCATTGTAACGATTTTACAATTTAAAAAGTTAATCTCTTCGGATTTTAATAGGCAATACAAACAAAACTTTTATTAGCTCAATTTTGCATATTTTATTTCTAAAATTGCACTTAAAGTATATTAACAGTTTTCTCACAAATGTAATTCATTAGTGTTAGGCTAATAATTTAGTGCAATTTGTTAGCCACAAAAACGAAATACTTTGGTAATAAAAATTGAGAAAAGAATGTATTGTAGCCATAATTCGAATTTCGTTTTAAAATTAACAACTGAATACAGCATGACACTGTATTCTAATTTTCAGAGCTCAAAATATAACCTTGACTTTAGTATTTACCAAATTATTCAAGTTTTGCGATGATTGTGACAATTTTTTTAGTTATTGTTAGTTCCATTTACTTTTGGCAATAAATCTATCAACATTCTAGTGAACTGCTGGAGTATTTACTACGATGAATATTAATAATTTGAAATTGTTGTAATAATTGTTTAACATTTTAGTTCCAAAAAAGCAAAATTAATAGTGTTAGAGTTGAAAATATTGAGCGCATAGAAATTTTGAAAAGTTTTAATTAAATTTTTGATGACAAAAAAATACAAACTGTCTGAGAAAGTGCTAGTTTAGATGCTATTTTGGATATAATTCCAAATTACTTTTAAATTAACAAAAAATCGTTTACTTTAACTTTGATTTTCGGACAAGAAACTCAGCCAAGTAAATTAAATATTGGCTATTTAGTGGGGCATTTCCCACTTCCTCTTTCTTGCATAAGCAAAAGCTACTAATTTGTTGCAATAACTTAACATGTGAAGGTCAAAAAAATGGAATAACTAAATTTCGAACGATGTTAATGAAGGCATTTCTGTAAATTAAGTAAACAAATATTTGTTTAAAAAAAGTTAACGTAAAAAAATAACAACTTATGCAATACTCGGAAAGTAGCGATGCTCTTTTGCGATTAATTTTTTGATTACAACTAGCTTGCGAAAATAATATTAAAAAGTGCGATTTTTTAAAAATAGCTTTTTATCGTTTACTAATAATATATTTGCAAAATTAGAAAACTCAGTAATATTGTAAATAGAAAAGTTAGTCATCAACACTAAAATTAAATACATTTGAGATGATTTTCAGCGTTAGTCTTTTTGTAAAACTGAAAGATAGATTAGGAATCAAGAAATTTGCTTGCATGAGCTTATTCTATATATGCGGACATGCCTTCGAAATTTCATCAAATATTTTATTCGTTGCTTTTTCAGTGCCTAAATTTGCAGTGTTATTCGCCACATTGTTCCTTCTATAAATTCCATGCTTTTCATTTATCTTTCAAAGCTTATCAGAAAAATCTTTTCCAATTTTGCTGCTGAAAATTAAATTTTTCAAAATAAGATTTGTCGCAGTCATTTTATGATTTAAAGTGATTTGCGTAAGATTTTCTTCAAAGATTACTTACTTTGTTACTTAAAATTTATCAAATTGTAGTGCGTGTAGTCTTCATAACATATTCTAATTGCAATTTTATTGTTTCAATAGAAGTGATAGTTGAGAAAATTATTGCAAAGTATTGCAATGTCTATCTATAGTTTAATGACTTTTTGATCAAAACGAATTCTCTGACCGATACTGCATTGATTGAAAGTATTCTGCTTGACAGGTTTTTATTACGAAGGGCGCTTAATCTCCTTCGCCCATCAGTGCTGTGTTATTTATCTGTTTATTTATTTTTTTAAACATTTTCTCTAATAATAATCCCTTTGAATATTTTGATTCTCATTTAATTTTTCAAAACAATGACTTT